GGGAAAAGAAGATCTTCTCTACTAGACTGCAAATACAAATTTGAAACGTGCAGCAAAGACGACTTTGTTTCAGACTCCCCAAGCAGGAGACACGCCTTAGACTTGACCTACAGTGCCTTACCTGAAAGCAAACCTCCGGCAGGCGGCTGCGAAGCTTTCGGCCAGAGGTACGCGACGCTGGGACAGCAGGCTGTGAGCGGAGCTCCCATACAGCCGGCAGTGAGGACTCAGATGTGGCTCAAGGAGCAGCTACGGGCAAACCCCCTGGACTGCAGGCCTGCTGAGGAGCCCTGTGGTGTGCCTGCATGGCACATGCAGCAGCTTGGAGACTTTAGAGTAGCAGGTGACCAGCCTACGCAGGTAAGGCCAGAGCTTGGTGTCTGCTGCCATCATGTGGCATCCTGAGTTATACCTGAGGAATAACAGGCAGTTTTAAATGGAACAGGAGAGGGAACGGGTCCTTGTAACCAGGTGATGTTTTTTTAAGCTTTGGTTGGGGCTATTGCTGCTTGTTTCTCAATATTATGTTTGGGTTTTCTTTTATTTCTGCTGTCTGCTTACACTTTACTCTGATTCATTGTGCCTGTCTGCATGGAACTAATGTCTTCATGTGAAGCTGAGCACAGGAAGAGATTTACCAAGTAGCCTTTTTAGTAGTTTTAAGAGTAACTGTATAGTAGGGGAAATGTGAAAGTATTTTTATCTGCATGAGATTACAAAGAGGCTGCATTCATGCATTCAGCAAAATAAGAATGACTTTTGTGTAGTGCAAGGGTGAATGAATATTAAATCTCCTTATGCCTAGCACTTAAAAATGGAATTCAGTTTGATATTACTGCTTATTTTTTAACTAATACAAATCAACTAATAGTAGTCAACAATCTGGTTTATTTAAATAAGATAGTGTGTGGTTGATGTGTCATACTTGAAATATTTTTATATAGAGATTATCAAGCACATAGTGCTTAAGAGATAGGTAGCCCTTTCTAACATTGCAATTCAGTCTTTGTTTCCAGCTCTTCCCCTAATGGGGAAATACAGTTTGTGAAGGAAGGCAATATTTAAAACCTGCACATTCATGTTTACCTGTGTAGTAAGTTTGGCTTGACTTGACAAAAAAATTGCAGTTTATAAATTTCTCTGAAAGGCATTTTAGGATTAGACTAGGATATTATCTCAGCAGAGATAACCTAGCAGTATGTTCAGATTTCCTGTTTTCTTCAGCCTGAAGTACAAGAAGTAATTTACAAGGAGTTGTGCTCAAGTTTTGTTGTTCCTTCTGTTGTACATTGATGGAAAGAATGACAAGTTTAGAGATTGTTAACATCCAATTTTGCTCTGAATGGTGATCTGGTTTTGGTTTTTGCTGGTGTTTTCAGTTTTTGTTGTGTTCAATTTTTATGAGGTTGGGTTTTTTTGTTTGGTTGTTTTTGTTTGGGTTTTTTTTTTTTTTTTTAACTGAAGAAAATTGAAGCCAACTAATATGGTCAAATGAATAGCAATCTCTAAGGGTTTGTCTAAAAATCTGACGTTACAGATAGACGCCTTTATTGCTTCAGAAACCCTCATATTTCCCTAAGCACTTAAAAGATTCTGGTGCTGATAAATTCCCCAGGTAGGGAGCAGAGGCTGATGGGGTCCTCTCAGAACTGAATTGACAGAGATGGGCTGAGGCTGGGTTCAGGGTACTGCCAGCTGGACTCTGGGCACTTGGCACCTGCTGGTGGCATTGAGCACATGAAGGGTTTGGGAAGTGACAGCAGGGTACCATCAGAGACCTTGGTCTATCCATTCCTTCAGGTCTTCCCAAACACCTGAGATGTGTGGCTGGCTGCAGCCAGCAGTGGTGCCGTCTGTGAGATTTGTGATCAGCTTACTGTGCCTGGTGCTTCTCTTCTTGGATTTAATGTACAGAATGACAGAATATTAAGGGTTGGAAGGGACCTTAAAGATCATCTAGTCCCAACCGCCTCTGCCATGGTCAGGGACACCTCCCACTAGACCAGGTTGCTCAGAGCCTTATCCAGCCTGGCCTTGGACCCTGCCAAGGTTGGGGCATCCACAACTTTGCTGAGCAACCTGTTTCTGTGTCTTACCACCCTCACAGTAAAGAATTTCTTCCTAATATTCCACCTTAAATTTCCCCTTTTTCAGTTTATACCCATTACTCTGTATCCTTTCACTACAGTTTCTGTGAAGGAGCTCCAGTAGGGCCCCTTCAGATAATGGATGGTTGCTATGAGGTTTCCACTCAGCCTTCTCTTCTCCAGGCTGAAGAGCCTTGCCTTCCTCAGCCTGTTTTTGTTGGGAAGTGCTTCAGTCCTCTTACCAGTTTTGTGGCCTCCTTTGGACTTGCTCCAACAGTTCCACATTCTTTTTTATGCTGGGGATACCAGACCTGTATGCAGTAACCCAGATGGTGTCTCACAAGTTTTATTTACTTATTTGCTTCATTTAGGCAAAGGTCTCTTCATCATCTTATATGTGCCTTTAAAAAACACATTGTTTAGGATGGGTGTTTTAGAAATTTATTTTTATTTAGATCAAAAGAACTCCCAGCTTTTGTCCTTCTTGTCTCAGAAGTGCTTTGTCTCTCTGATCTTGTTTAAATGTAGTATGAAGGCAAAGTTAAATGTTTGAAACAGATGATGTATGTGTTATTACAGTTACTTAAAAGCTTTCATCCATGCAGGCATTGCTACCGAGCTGTATTTGGAGGATAGAGCCAGCAGGGGGAACACAAGCATTATTTATCTTTGACTTTGATTCACAAACAGTGCTGCACCTTTTCAGGTTTTTGAGATTTGATATTTTGCCTAAAACTGGCTATTGTTTTGGGTTTTTTTGGTTTTTTCTTTGCCTTTTTTTTTCCCCACCTCTAACTTTTACATCTCTGCGGAGGAAATTCCTGATCGTCTTAGCAAGCACTTCCATCAGCATGATCTGGAGTCATATTGCTGGGCCTTGAAATGGGATCTGTTTCAAAGCATGTGCAAGAGCAGTGAGCCTTTAGGCTCTTAGAGCCATCCTCTGCTGCCCCTCCCTGCCCTCCTGTCTTTCTGACAGAGGTTGCACCTGTGAGGAAGAGAGATGCCAGAAGCAATGAAGAAACAAGAATGATTCTTCCTATCTTGACACCTGTTTTTTAAAGAAACGTCAGCATCATTTTGGTGCGGCCTTTTTTCAGAGATCAAATGTACCTGGGAACTGCTGTTTTATTATTTCTGAGAAACCAAGAGAACTGCAATCCTAAGTGGAATATATATCTAAGAAAGAGAGTAGAAGGCCATAGAGGAAGCTGATCATTTATAAAAAGGGCAAAACCCAGAATTCAATATAAATTTTTAAATTTTTTTCTTTTCCTTTTAGTGAGGGTTACTTTTCCTTTTTTACTTTTAATACATATATATCCTGTTGGAAATGTAGTGGTTTTTCTAGGACTGAAAAAAATCAGTTTATCATTATTTTTCTTTAAAACTACTAGTGCCATGAACAGAGAATACAACAAGCTTTGCTTTTAACTGTTAATCTAGAGCAGTTTTGTGCATCTTTAAGACAGCTGCACTCTGTAGCCTCCACTCTACCAGCCTATCACTAATGAAGTAAGAATAGACAGCAACAATTTTCTGAGTTGATTTTGAGGACCGATGGTTCAGGAATAGCTGTTGGACTTAATAATACACACTACAAATAAGTTTTTATGTCCTCACAGACTAATATAGACAGTTGACCATAGAAAACACCAATTCAGAGTTGATTGTTCAATCTTTCTATTTGTTTACTCTACAGACTAACAGAAAGTATAATGTAACAGCTCAAAAGCTGTTCTAAGGTTAATTACCTTCAAGCTTAAGATTTTCTGCTTCCTTAGTAATCTAAAGTTGACTGAACTCAGTGGTTGTTCTTACACTTTGCTCCCCAAATTAGAATGCCTACCTATCATGTGGCTTTTCCATTCCAATTATAAACCATGGGTTGTAAAGTAAAATTTCCTGGACATTGTAAGGGAAGCTCAGAGTGTTGGGTAGAAGACCTACAGCTACATTGTGATTGTCCTTCAGGATCTGGTCAAGGTGGCAACTGCAGAAAATGTACTGTGGAACAACAGAATGCCCCTTAGAGATGGTGCATCCTTCAGCTGTGGGTGTGGTGTCTGTACATTTCAGAAATAAATCTGCAAGGAGAATCTGGTCTTTGGTTATTGTGTAACATCATGGAGTTGCATCTGAAAATTCATTTCCTTAGCTAATGTGAGTTATTTAATGTATGCTTTTTAAAAATAAACATTCTCCTACGCATTTCCTAGGAACAGATTTTAACAGTTCTTCGGTTTATGCAGTTCAGTTCATGCACTGAAACAAAGAAATATTGCTTTAATGAAAACAGTTTCCATGAGGAATTTATATTTCACTATACACTTAATTGTTTAATTGTTTTCAATCTACAGCTGATTTTTGTATAAGGAAATGTGTGATAAGGACTGTATTAAGAGAAAAATATGCTTATAAAACACACCACAGCATTTCCCATTTACTGAACTTGGAGGCCATAAAATGTAAATTAAAAGGCTCTATGTTTTCAAGCAGTGGCATTTCTTAAGGTCTGATCCTATTATATATCCTATTATCTGAATGCATGTAGGTACATGCTGTGTGCTAGTCCAAAAATTAGATTTAAAATGAAAGTATGCATTTAAAGTTGTTGGAGATTATATAATAATAGGGAAAGCTTCAGAAGATTGCATATCTACATATTAATTTTGTACAGTGTTGTAAGTATCACTGTAAGTAATACTACTGTAAGTTGTAAGTATGAATCTCTTTATTCCAGTGTACAGAGCATATGTATGATTTCTTCATGGTGTGCTAAATTGTGTCAGAATATTGCAGAGATAATAAGTGGAAATTACTTAAGTGCATCTTTTCCCTTCAATGTACCAGGTTTAGTGTGGTTTTTTTAATGACGAAAACAATAGCTTGATCATACCGTGTATATAAAAGTTGCTGGAAATTAAGTTTTAATGTAATGAGAAGTTTCGAATTATTAGAACAATTTTTGTTGCAAAGCAGAAAGGAAGTAAGTAAACTGTGTGCATATCTAAACATCGGTAAACCAAGCTGTAAAACCTTAATTGAAAGAAAAGCCATAAGATTTCTGAGATGACATCGTTACCACAGAAGATTTTATTCCTAAATGTCAACTCAAAGCTAGGGTTTTTTTGCAATCCTGTCAGATCAGAAAATTAAAATTATTAATATCAGCAATTTTCCTAGATCACGTTTTGATGAAACTTTTCAGGGATAGAAAACTCAGTGTGAGAGATTATCACTTTTAGCAAGCAGAGTGAACTCCTTTACTGTGAGCCATAACTAAGCTTTTATGGTCTGTTCATTTTGCTGTGGAGTTGGTAGCCCAGCAAATGGGATTCCATTCATTATAAGGTGCTTGTAGGTTCAGTCTGGAGTGCTAGCAAATGATCGGGAAACTAAACTTGGTTGATTGCAAAAAAAGCCTTGGCATTGGTTAGCTGCTAACTTTGCCAGCTTTATATGTCATCTCTGGAAAATGCATGTTTCAGTTTCAGCAGCGTATTTCAGCATTTGTTGAGGATTCTGTCAGTTCGTTGCTGGCTGAGAGGAGACTACCGAGATTGTATCTGGGGATTGTTTCTCCACGCTCTGATGGCAAAGTTTCTCACAGACTTCCTTGGTATGTAATTTTTGATCTGGAAATACATGCTCGTTGTTGGCAGCAGGCTCATCTTCCTCAATTTATTAAAAAGGAATAGTTGATCTTACTGTTTTGTCAGGGCCAACTGGTGTCACAGTGGTTTCCCTAAGATCTGGAAACTTCTGAATATAGAAAAGGTCATATAGACAATAAGCTTTGGGTAGTCCCAAACAGTATGTCAGTGAATAACCATTTTGTTGGGAAAACTGTTCTTATTTTGCTTTGGGCTAGAGTGGGTTTGCTTTTTGTTTCAGTGTTTTTGGTGTGCTTTGAACCATCTTTGTATTACATCTCCTAAGTAATACAAAACTATATAACCATTACCACATATATCTGGTATATAAATATACAGATTTTTTTTAAGCAGTCTTTCAAGATTATAAAAGAACTGCTTGTTGTGATGTAGGTGTGCAAATTTTTCTGCTTTAAATGCAAACAGATTGGAATTCATACTGCTATAACTATAAACTTCAAAAAACTGTGGGTATGGAGTTTGCAGAAGCCATTTCAAGTGGTTATTGCACATATTTCAGAGCAAGTGAGAAAAAAACTTTCCTTTTAACTATCTGTGCTGCTCTAGGCAACTGTGCTGGTTTGGCTGGAGCAGAGACAATTTCCTTCGTAGTAGCTACACTTTGTACTTATACCAAACTTATGGGTCCGTAGACCCATCCTTGCTACTATGCCATGAAGAAAATTAACTTTATTCCAGATAAACCAGCACACTAATGCTCTGTAAGCTATGGAGCAGGTAGTGTAGAGTGGAATGTGGATGCTTATTAATGGCAGGATTTCCTTAAGCTTTCGGGTTTGCTGGGCATACTGCCTTTTCCTGTGAAAAGTCTATTCATAGAGCCAGTTTAGATGAGTCTCCTGCAGATAACTGAATAACAGTAGTGATCATATGGAAGTTCTATGAACATAAATAGATCAGCTCTATAATACACTTAGCACTCAGCAATGTATGTGCTGAATCAGGGATGTGCTGTTTGCAGTAGGAAGCTGGAGCTGGGGCTTCCCCCATCCATGAAACAACATCTGCCTCTTTTGCACATGTGTTAGTATGAATATCTATGGCAATAAATTTGCTGTATATTTTTGGTGCACACTTGGTGATTCCTGTGGTTGGTTCCTGTGTTTCACTTGGGAAAGTGAGATGCTAAGAGAAAGTTGTTTGGCTCCAGTGCAATGTATGAAAGCTGCTTCTGGTCCACTCCTTTCCCAGCACTTCTCATGTTTTTAGCTCTACCTTCTGGAAAATCATTCGAACAGAAGCGTGCTCTTGTTGGTCAGTGTCCTTCCCAGGACCCTGTGGGTAAAGTACATCACCCTGTAAAGAGCCACAAAAAAAGGTCCTGTAAGAAGTTTTTGATGCATGCCAAGAGGTGAGGACAGGCTATGGACTGATGATTGCACTGGCAAGTAGTGAGTGGTCTGTCAAATACGGCTGGAGGGCTCCCACACTGCTCACTTGACCTGTGCATAAGTGGTAAATCCTCTTACTGAGGTTGTAATGCATCTTGGGTTTGTGCAGTGTGCCTGCTGTTGGTGTATGTGCTGGTGCTAAGGGTTTCCTGGCCAGAGTTATAACCCTGGGTAATGGTCCTTTGTTTTTCAGTCGTTTTGACAGCTGCTTCTTTTGATATGATGGATAACAGAAGGCTTCTTGCTTTTATGATGTTACAGTGAACCACAGGTGGTCAAAAAAAGGTCTAAATAATAATAACATTTTCATATTTGACCTTCACTTATCTCCATCTCTGCTACTGCAAGCTGCTCTTCAGGGATATTTTTGTTTCTATTTACAGCAGCTGTGCTTTTCTCTCCACAGGTAATTTGATGTGTGCTGTCAACTCAAAGCTGGCATTTTGGTTTGCCCTCCTGCTGTCATTTCCCATAAAGTAAATGGAAATACCAGAGAAATCCCATTTTAAAAATTTGATTTCTGCTGTCCCCTTTCTGCAGACATTATGTTCTTTGAATGCTGCAAATAATTTGTAGGTCTTTAAATAACAATCAGCTGTATCAATGAGAAACTACAGTAGCTGCTGATGCATTCTTGGGTTTCTTCAGATACTCAACGAGGCTGTAGGTGCTTTCTTCACTCTGTTGCAGGTGCATAGCTTGTACACAGCTCTTAGGATTGTTTTCTGATAAATTTGGGGTATGAGCACATTCTCTGTAACTGTTGGATATTTCAGCCTCTGCAGTCTTCATGTACTTAGATTCAGGTAGTCGAAAGTGTCTACATTATCGTTGCAAAATCCACGGGACAAAATCTGAGAAGGAAGCAGCGCCTTGCAGAGGTTCATATCAGCTTCACAAGGATAAATGCAAGCACTAGGACCAAGACAATGAGCAGAAAGTTAAGTAGCAGGTTGAGACCTCTGTTGTTGGCCAGATCCATAATATGTATCAATCTGCCCTCTTGTGCCTGCAGCAGACTCTTAATTGTGGCTTAGGGTTGCTCCTTCAGTACTAAGCCATGTAGGTTCACATAAATTGCATTGTGTCCACAGCTCTTTCCCTGGTTTTTAGTTTCTTCCACTTAAGAAAAAAATATATGCTTACAATAGCTAGTTGTTTGGGGTTTTTTTCTGGAAAAGTATTCTGGATGCTTCTACAAGCTTTTTTTCTCAAATACCTTAAAAATAAAATGAAATAAAATAAAGATTATTGATAACTTTCATTCCAGTACTGAAGAAATTCTGAAAAACTAATAGTTGGAGGAAGGATTTGTATTCTCTTATACAGGTTGGCGCTTCATTGACTTTATTAGTGTGTATGGTACTTCTCAGGCCCATTGAATTTTCAAAACAATGAATGTTCTCAAGACTTGGTCTCTTTCAGCAACAGACTGTTGAAACTTTATTTCTAAAATACCTCTATGGTTGAAACACCTCTCTGCCCCCAGCTTTCTTATCTGGGCAAAATGTCTGTCTGTTAATAGAATTATTTCCTAGCCTTCCAGGGTTTGGCATCGCGCACTGCAGTTGTGTTTAGCTGGCAATGTGCTTTGTAAGGTCCATTGCAGTCTTGCAAATGCCTGACCAAGAATCTGGATTGAACTGGCAGAGGATGTGTCCTTAGTGCTTTTAATAGAACATACGCAATTACTTATTTTAAGATAGCATTAATAACTTAACAATTGGGGTTTATTTATAGAAATATATATACACGTAAGTGAAAGGAACATATAAACCCGCTTAACCCCAATACTGCCAACAGTTGCCAAAAATTGCTTTTAATAATCAGCTACATTTTCAGGGAAGATCACAAGAGGGCAGTGTTTTATAGCTTTACATTTTATACAAAGGTGTAACTTCTGGCATAATTTTGCCTTTTAAAAAAAAGCTCATAAAGCAATCGATTAGAAATTACTACAGTAAATATAGGGCCTCTGTTAACTAACTTAAATTACCAGGGTTCTTATTGAGGGTAGCATCAATTTTTAGAAGAATCCTTATAAATATGTTCTGAGTTTTGGTTTGTTTTTTTCTTCTTTTTCCCCCCGCTTTTTATCATGGAGGTCAAAGCTAAAAAAAAAGGATTACATTTGTTGTTAAATAAGACATCTCTGGATCTTACAGGATTTCACAAAAAAAAAAAAAATTCCAGTTGTATTCTCCTAGGCACTATTCATTAATAGCCATACAAATACAGGTATCTGGTCTGTAATCTATAGTGTGTTTATATGCTTCCAAATATAAATGGGACTGAACACTCTCTAAATGAATGTGTTCAATCACTCTGCTCTATTTTTGGCAGAGAGAATATAGTTAAAGTATGTTTCAGCATACATTAAAAAGTGTGTACATTTTTTATGATTAGTGTTTGGTGTGTATCCCAGAAAGGATAAGGTTGGAGGGGACTTCCATCTTCCTGCTCAAACAGGGTCATCCTAGAGCACATGGCACTGGATTGTCTCCAGCTGGTGTCTGAACATCTCCAATGAGGGAGACTCCACAGCGTCTCTGGGCAACTTGTTCCAGTGCACAGTCACCTGTATAGTAAAGAAGTTCTTCCTCACATCCACATGGAACTTCCTGTGCATCAGTTTCTGCCCATTGCCTCTTGTCCTGTTGCTTGGCACCACCCAACAGAGCCTGGCTCCATCCTCTTGGCCCCCCTTTATGACAGACATTGATAAGGTCCCCTCTCTCAGTCACTTCTGGAGGCTGAACAGGCCCAGCTCCCTCAGACTTTCCTCTTAACAGAAGTACTCCAGTGCCTTAATGACTGATCTTTGTCATTCTCTGCTGGATCTGCTAGAGGAGCTCTGTGTCTCCCTTGTACTGAGGAGCCCAGAAATGGCCACAACATTCCAGCCTCACTAGGGTGTAGTAGAGGGGCAGGATCATCTCCCTTGACCTGCTGGGAATGCTCTTCCTAATGCATCCCAGGATACCACTGGCTTAGTTACACCATTGGTGTAGTTGTACCAAAACGTGCATAAAAGTTTTTTGTGCGGGGGGTGGGGGGGGGGGGTGTGAGGGTGGGTGACGAACATTTTGTGCATGTCGTGAATAATTTTAAGTCTTTTCTGTCCAATGAGTGGTTCAGTTCTGCCAGGAAGGGAAGTTGTTGCTAAACTGATGCAGAACAGTTATTAAAGAAATGCAAGTATCTGCTGCCTTCTAAAACACCTTCTGACTAGTCTTGGTCAGAGCAATGTTTCAATTTTTTAATGGGCCATGTTTTCACATAAAGAATTCAATTCAATTCTTAAATAAATTATTACATCTTTTTTTGCTGAGGAACTGACTAAGGAAACACATCTTTAAAAAACCAGGATATTATGGTTCCTGATTCAGCTCCTTCCTAGTATAAAATTGTCATGGAAGTTGGTAACTTTTTTTTTTTTTTTTTTTTTTTTTTTGAGGAAGAGTAATACCAGATTGTTGCCTGTTTATCTGTCTTTATTCACTATTGGTGTGTAAAATGACCTTAGGAAAAAGATTAAGCCTTGGGTGGAGTGGAGCAGGGAAATAAAACCTTAATCCAAGCTATGTGCTGTATGTGTTCGCAGTTTTTATTATGATTCATAAAAGTGGCAAACTTTTTGATTACATTTGCAGAAAATTAATTAGGAATAGTTAAAAGTGCTAGATACTGAGTGGGAATCCGGTATATGTAAGTGACCTGGACATTGCAAAATAGTCAAGATTACTCTTGAAAACCAAAACAGAATAAATAGAGATTTAGAGAATTAGAAAGCTGTGTGATGACTAGCTTTTTTCACATAACTTTAATAAGTAATAGAATGAATGCTTCTCTCTAAACAATTGGATATGTTTTATGCATTAATATTTTTCAAGCAGTCTTTTTATTAAATAAAAATACTGGAGATATTATTTTTAAAGCTTGTATAAGTCTACAACGAAGATTGTATTATGTACAAAAGGGGTTTTTTTAAACTTCTGGGTTCAGTTGACAATTGGTGATATAGAGGATAGTAACAGATTTTTTGATCAACAGAAGCCTAAGACACAAATGAACCATACAGTATATGCAATACATCTGCATTGCTGTAAAATAGCAGTAAGGCTTACAGTTTATTGAGAACTTGGTTATGTTCTTGTTTGGTTATTGTTTTAAAATAAGTTACGGGTTTTCAGGTACATAAGAGGAAGTTGGATGGTCTGTTTTTATTGGGCTACATTTTTTAGCAATGCTTTACTCTGACTCCTTTATACTATTGGCTTGTGAAACCTATAACCCAAACATATCCTCAGAATGTAGTGCTGATGCTTTACTCTTAACACTTCTTTCTGTAGCAAGTCTTCAGTACTGTAAAACTGTTGTCTATTTTCAGTTGAAGTCTCTTGAAACACATCCAAAGCAAACTAAAGCTAGAAACTCTATCCATCACAAAAATACAGATTTGAAAATAGAAGAAAACTAAGAAGGATTAAAAGGGGAAATATGCTTGCTAAAATCTCATGTGTTTGTGAGAGAAGTCAGAATGCATGAAATGGAAATTGAGATTTTCACTGACAGTTCAAATCAGTACTGCTCATATACTAACTTGCAAGTGTGGAGGTGTGTTGCCAGTCTCACCAGTGCTTGCTTGCCCTAATCCTCATACAAGTAGCTATCTTAATTTCCTCTCATGGGTAACCTTAATTCAGAGTCTGGTCTTAATGTACCTACTCACCAGATAGGAAATTCACCACTGGATTTGCTTGCATTCCATTGAATACAGAGTTTTTTCAAAGATTTCTTCCCTTCCTGCTCAGCTGTTAATTGTCAACATCTACTCATGAAATATTAAGTCTTAAAGGCAGAATACAAGATAAACTTGTTTCGATTTTCTGTATTCATCAGTAAGAATGTTTACATAGAATGAAATAGAAGAATATATCTTTTAAAAGTGGATATCTGTTTGACTTCTGTCTGTTGATTCTTGAGCTATCTTTAAATCTGAAAAGTGTATTGAATTTCTAGGAATTTTGCTTATTACCAGCAACATGTAATAGGGTTAGTAGGGTTGAAAGTCGTCTTGTTACTCACAATTTCTGGAGCAGAAGTGTTATCTTTTAAGTGTTAGCCTGTGGTTTACATGTTGAAAAGATATTTCTGCAGTGCTTTCCTCTCTGTGCATAATTATTTACAATGAACTTTTTTACCTGTCATTTATTTTAGGAAAGTACTTGCATGTTCTCTAGCAGGAATTGCAGCTGAAGGTGGGGATGTTACTTATATTTCTATGGTGCACTTCAGTCACAACAGTAATGGTGACCAAGACTTTTTTCTTTGCCATATTAGGTGTAAGCCACCTCATGTGACATTGGCAAGTTAGGAGTTTTTTGTAGTTTTGAGCGAAGCAAATTATTACATGAATTAGAGCAGGCCTTAATTAAGTTGTCTAAAGGCAAACGTTGAGACCTCTGAGAATCTGAGTTGTGCCAGTTGTCATGTCAGTCAAATGAGTGTGGAAAACAAAATTTTGTTATTTCAGTTATGGTAGTGGCAGTTTTTTTCTGCAAAACATAATGAAAAGTCTTTACAGGCGTCACGTGTGTAAGATCACTTAAATAGGGAGAAAAACATATTAACTAGTTTTTCCATTTTGAGTTAGAAGAGATTTTTAGTTCATTCTCATATTCTTTTGAAAAACACTGAAGCAATTTGAATGCCTTCAGATGATAATTCACAGAATTCACAGAGATGCAGCACCTTCAACTAAGCAGAGCAGAAAAATGTTTCACAGGATGTGTTGAGGGCTGTGTACCTGTAAACTGTTCTTTGTGTGGGCATGGTCCAAATTTGGAACCCTTCCAAGGGCTTAAAGATTTTCAGAGAAACCTAAAAACACTTAGGCCCCCAGAAAGTGATGGTGGTGTTTATATGACTAAAACTTTGAATTTACTAGCTGCTGGCAGTTACTGATCAGAGCGGATAATCTGATTTACTGATACTTTACCTCACATAGTAAAGATGTATCTTGATTCAGACGGACAAATCGAGTCATGCACAACTTGGTAACTACAGGCTCTAAACACTGTTCTGCACAGAAAATGTGTTTTTAATACATGTAGTGGGCAGTGAGATAACAGAGCACTGGTTGGCACACTCACTAGTCCAAGTGCTAGCCCCTGTCACATGAGGATCCTTGCACTGGGAGCTGCATGTGTAGGTCTCTCTACCCCCTGGGGTGACTTTCCTAGAGAACAGGGCAGAGGAGTGCTGGAACTTCAGAGTAGCATCACAATGATACAGATCAGCAAGAGGCAAATTAGAATCAGGCAGAAATTCACAAAGAGCTCTTGGAGCCTTTGGCGTGCTTGTGGGTTGACCTCAATAGTTGAGGCTCTCCTCAGAGCAGAGCGGGTCATGTGTTGGACCTTCTCCATGGCAACAAGAAAGCAGAGGGCACAAATCACAGGTTTTAAGAGTGCAGGAAATAAGAGCAGTGGTCGAGAACAGTACAAAGTGCCTAATATCTTCTCTTTGTTTTAGACAGCGTTTGCAGAGCTGGAAAGCAGGAAAGCAGAGAATTAGAAGTGCAGAAGTGTTTTTGAGTATAAATAGAGACTGTAAAAACAATCTGTTTGTTTCAGATTTTTTAGAGCTTTAAAACAATGTTTTTTTAGGTTAAAATGTGATTTTAAAATTTTGGAGTTTTAAGTTTAGATTTGTCCTGTATTTTGCTTCTACTGGCTACTGAGCACCCGCTTCTTAGCAGTGTTGAATAAGCATACTATGGAAATTGTGGGTATCTGGGTTTTGCCCAGATTATTGCTTTAGATCCTAACCTCTCTATCTCACACAGTCTCTGAAAAGGCTGTGGCTGATTGCCTTTCCACACACACCTCTCTGCTTTATTTGTTCAAGCACTTGTGAAGGCTTGATGATAAGAGTAGGGTCACAGACCTTTCAGCCAGGAGATCTGGATAGTCCTGCTGGCTGGTACTGACAGGGCAGATAATCTGATTTACCAGTACCTTTTGCTGGAAGAGAGGAAAAAAATTCTTGTTTAATTATTTCCATTCCAATAAAAACTCTTTATGGTGAGCAATTAAAACCTAATGCATCACTGCTGTAGGGAATTTTAGTAGCATAGTTCTCAACAGACAAGACAAAGTAAGGACTAATTCTTTTTTTGTGCATGTAGGACAGACAATGTGTTACAAACGTGGGTGCAAAGGCAGAGGACTGCTGTGAGGAACAAAACAGCATTTATACAACTTCATCTTTTGAGTGTTACATTTAAAGTACATTTTTCCTCCCTTTTAGTGGCAGATGGAAGGAGAGGGTATCGGTTGTTTTAAAACTACAAATAAGTAATTGAAATGTAAAACCTTCCTGTACAAACCTTCCATGGCAAGAAGCTGGCTTTGGTATATGCTTGTTTAGCTCACGGTGAGTTGGATTCTGAATGTAGGTGCTGTCACAATGTGAAAGCTTGGTTTTTAAAATAATGATGATCTGTCAAACTTTGTTCCTAAAGCTGCACTTACGCCTAAACATGTTATGAATTTATACTGTGTTCATATATTTCACAAAAGGCCTCTCCTTGTCACCACTTTTTTTTTTTTTTTTTTTTTTTTGTCCTGGAAATAAGTGAAATAACTATATATGCCACATAGAGGAAAACAATTGCTTAGATGTCTGCCTGCCCAAATTACATATGATCTTGACTGAATCAGAGATACTTTGCCCATGAGTTGGTCTTTATATGTGGCTAAAATAGAAAAACCTTAAAAGGAAACAAAAGTGCCTTTCAGACTCTTTTTTTTAATCCCCCCACGTTGGGCTGTAGAGTCAAATGTTACTGTATGAACAGAATGCGTGTGTTTTCAGTAGTCGTGTTGGTATTTAAGAGAGACTTTCAAAAGCAATCAGATTGCACGTGGTTATTTTAATACCCTTAAATATCCTTAGAGGATTCTATATGATGGCATCTCCTTCTCAAACTAAACTTCAGATTTTGTTATGATTTTTTAAACCTTAGTTGATCTTAACTTTATTGCAAAAAAAACATACTCCAGAACATACTCTTGTACTTGACTACAATTTTTCATCTTTGTTTGGCTTTTTGCTGTGCCTGCTTTCATCTATTTAAGCAGTTAAGATGCTTGCCAAGTATATTCTGCTTAGCTCTTTGCTAATCACAGTCTGTCTCAAGTGCAAAAGCAAGACATGCACAAGAATTCTAAAGTCTATTAGCTGAATGTACATTCATTCTCCCAGCCCAGTACAGGCTGGAGTGCATTAGACTGTTTATCTTCTTGCAGACAAGTCCCAGTAGATGAACCACAAATGGATTTACATGGATAGAGGGGAGTTTGTGTAACCAGCTTCTGTGATAGATACTGCCCAGAGAACAGCATTTTGTGTGGATGACTTCATCATGGAATTTTATGTCATTTTTTTCAGTGTCATTTTTTGGTCTTTGGGCTGTGTGTGACCTGCTGCAGCAATATTTATCTTTCCTAATTGTTTTTTTTTTTCCTTGGGGCCCACAGAAGGATTGGAACATCATCAATGTGTACCTGTGTACATACAGAATAAATGCATATTCTGTTTCATTAGAAGCTAATGCAACCCTACTGCATTAGGTGTAACTGCACTCATGCTGGCACCTGCACTGCAGTGTTGCTGCGTATGTTTCACTTGCATGACTCAAGGGGTAAGGCCCTGGGGCTCTGAAGTGCTTCCATAAAAAGCAGTATTATCTGGTCAGGCATCACAGATGCAAGGCCAAAATAGATATTTGGACATACGTAACCAGAAGGGGATACAAAAGAATCTTAAAAAGTGGAATGTAGCGTAAGTTAAAATCTCTATACATCATACAGCTAGAAGACATTGTAGAGAAGGGATGAGGAGAGGATGAAATAGATTGAGTTTCTTGATTTAATAGCTGGTGTGGTTTAGGCAGTTTTTGAAACATCTATTCATCATCTGTCAACAACACCTATCTGTTGTTTAACCTCCTGCTCCTATCTGTGGTGTAAGTTTTCTTGTAAGCAGAGGAAGCCAATTCTGTGTCTGTATTTCAACGAGTTTGTCTTTACAAGTGTTGTAGTTCAACTAATAAACACATACCTTGCTTGTTAATCCTCCATGGCACTGTCACCCACCTAAAGTGTGCAGAAAGAGAAACAGATTCACTAACACAGCTGCATATGGGCTATCAAGGTCAAAACGGACAGCTTGGAAAATAACTACTACACAGAAACAAAGACTGGTCATTGTCACAAATAGTAGCTGTTTTCTTCTGTTCAGTCCTTGGTGTTTTAGGCCAATATAAAGAAGAATGGTGCATGCTCACACCACATCTTGATAAAAAAGTGCCACAAAAGGGCAAATGATATTTGATATTTTTTAGAAGTCACAAAGTGTGACTTGTGTGACGAGACTGAGCATCACACAAGAGGAGCAGTTGGCTGCATTGCTGTGCAGTTTTGTTTTATTGGCACTGTTAATGGATGTGCAAGGCTTGTCTTAGGCACACAGTGAATCTGCAGGAAGATGTCTGGTGGCTGACCTTGTCTGTTACTATGCAGGGACTCCCCTATACCCCATATTTCACAATGAGTCACTGATCACAATTATTGCTTCCCACCTCACTGACATGTGACTGTTTCCCTGATTCGTATTAGGTTATTTTTATCTTTGTTCCTGGGTGCCCTTCACAATGAAAGGGGGTATGTGACCAAAGTGAAAACTGTGGGCCATGCTCATTCCTGGTGCAACTGCATTGACTCCTTTGCAGTCACACGGGATAAATTTGGCTCCCTTGGAAATGGCACGGCCTGTTTCCTGTCATATGTTCACTAAATGCAGCAGTGATATCAGTGGAATAGAAGAAGTTTGGCTTACTTGAATTCTTGCAGTCCCACATGACCAAGTGAAGCTGTTAAAGTCCCTTTTGCTTAAGTCTATTGCATAGATTTTTACGATGAGATGTCCCAAAACCCCAGTAATTCACTTATTCTATCCATTGGAAAAAAAGTCTTACTAACCTTTTAGTAGCGTTAGTACTAAAAGGTTGAGTACTATGTAAAGGTTGAGTACTGCTTTCCATCACTGTGCTCAGCATGAACATAGTGATGGAAAAAGTACTATAAAGTTATATTGATTGAAGATTTAGGCACTGACTTGTGGCATATAATATAATTTTTTAGTAATACGAAGACAACATTTCCTTGGGATGGGGAAAGAAGCAACAATTCAGCTTGTAGTTTGAGAAGTGCTGGTAGCAGGAAAAACAAACTCATTTTATCTTTCTCTTTACCTTTTGTTTGTTTTGTGCTGATGTGTCATGTGTGTTTCAGAGAGCATAGGGGAAGACTCACACTTGAGATTATATTTTTCCCTCCCTTACAAATTCATTGTTTCTACAATCTTCCTTCTGCGTAGCTTTGTTGTTTTTGGTGTTCTAAGACACAAGACCGGCAGTAAGAGCCTCTACTTGTATTTCCAGTCCATGAGAATGTGAACAGTGTAAGTGACAAGAAATTACACTGATGAATAGTTGAACACACCATTTTATGCAGATAAAGTTCAAAAACCATCATTTTGGGTTGAACTTTATCTGCATATCTTGTGGCTAACTGACTTATATGTGTGCTGGTCCATTAGAGTAGCCTGGGAACCAGTGCTTTGGGCTAGTTTTTAGGTTGGTTAAATTTCCTGCAACTGCTGCAGGATCATGCAGTGGGATCTTGGGCAGGTTCTTCAGTTTCCATACTCATGGGTTCCCCTCATCAAAATAAGACATAAAATAACTGTATACCAGTTCCAGTCTGTTGATGTGATCTGCCTTTTACATAGTAAATTTATTTTAGAAAATGAACTCCATCCTCTGCTGTGTTCACTGATTACCTAACAAGTTGTTTCATGTTGAGTTTTAGCTATGGTGGTTCATAATGTCCCTTTAATAGGAAATAGTCTAAATGCAATTTGAATTAAAGAAAAAAATTGAAATACGTCTAGCAGGTATAAAAGGTAGAAGTGGAAAGGGCTGTTCCAAGTTTTGTTTCTAACCTTCTAACATGTCAGGAAACAATGATATGGCATTGATTGAGAAGGATATAATAGATAAATTCAACTTCTGAGAAGTTACTTGATGTGAGGAAGGTCCTGTTTTATCTTTTTTCAATCTCCAGAAAGCAAAAGCAATCTTCAGTTCTAAAGTGTCTTGTAGTTTTAGGGAACGGAGCCTTACTTCCCTGTGTGATTCTTTTATATCTCCAGCTGGGGTACTTTTCTATTCCTAAATAAAATTATTCTTAAAGCAAACAAAAAGTTGCTGTTGTAGTTCTGTACACGTATCCTCTACATTTTTGTTTGCCGATGGTCTGAAAAAGCAGTGAAAATCACCTTTATGCTGCCAGTTACAAACTAATTATTTCAGTGAGTTTCCTGTTGTATGGAGGAACTAACTTACTCAGAGGATGAGAAATAAATGCAGCTTTTAAAAATAAAAATGTGCTAATACATGAATCTGAATCTCTCTTAAATAACACTTGCATTGTTGTCTTGACAAATGAGTAGCAAAAACAAAAGGCAGAAAATTGCCTGCTGTAAATTAAATGCCTAATTTCATGTTGCTTTGTAACACTTATCACCTGTCCTGTAGCACATACCTTTGTCATGACTGTAGGTTGTTCTCAGGGTTTGGATGTCTGTGACATGGGATGTTATAAGTGTGAAATTTTAAAATTTAATTTAACAGCTGAGCCACTCTCTCATCTACATTAAATTACTGAACTCTAACCGGATAAAATTGAGATGATGAGGCAGCTAACCTGCCGTAGCTATGGGATGCATTCCAGCTTCCAGTGAAGAGCTGCCTACAGCATTTAAGTGTCTGTGTGTATGTATGTTCAGTCTCTATCTCTATTTTTAAAGGTCTGCATATGCAATATTTGTGGTAGAATAGAAGGATTCTCTGGGTGGTAGAATAAACTTTAACTCCTCTCTTCACTTGAAAATACATTTTATATATAATTTCAGCCTTGAAAGAAATCTGTCTGAGAATCTTCTTGCTCTTTGTAGGCACTGGACAGTCTGAAGTGCTGCTTCTGCCTACTGAAAACAGCTTCTAGAGAGCTCTGTTCCAGACTGTTTGCCTTAGGAGTAACAGCATGTCCAGATATTTCTCTCACTTGAATATTCAAAACTGGCACAAGGCTGCTGAGCACAAAACCAAGCACCTGGATGTAGCTTTGCCTGATGCCTGCCAGTTACTAATAGGAAAAGGAATTAGGTGTATCTGTTCACTAACAGGGAAAACACACCTCACAAAATTACAAGTCTATATTAGGTTTGTCTCTTCTATAACCATATGTAGACATAAGTAGTAAGGTGTCAATTGATGAAAGGGAGGAACGAGGTTGTAAGGAGCATGAATATGTTCGAGACATCCATATTCAAGAATCATATTTATTTTTAAAATATTTGTATATGTATATATTGAATGTTCTCTACGTGACATGTTTCTCTGAGATGCATGTTATTTCAGTGATTTTATAGCTGGGATTGTATTTCATTGTACAACATGTCTGTGCTTCCCTTAGAAATAAGTAGGTTCTTTTCTGCATTTGAAATTCAGTTCATGATGTTACAAGTCCTAACTGAATTATTTCTCAGTTATTAGAAGCAATCTAGGACACATGTTGTGTTAGTTACAATGAACAACAGGAGAAAATAAAATTTTAATGGATATCAAAGCAAAAACACTACATGGATTCTGTAGCTTGAACTGCTCTTAGAGGAACATGGTATAATTTCAGTTCTAGTAGTGCTATAAATCACTTAAATTTTTAAATTAAGGGTAATTTTTCATCATACAGCAAAAAAAAGGTTTGCTCTCTCAGTATGTTAGATCAGAAAAATGTTTTACAGAGTTAATGGTGAAAGAGCTTCTTTACCCTTGCTGGTCTGTGAATAGGCAGCTTTGGGGAAAAGAATGCTTCTACAAAACATTAAGAGAATTATTCTCTTTGTAGATTTTGGATTAAAAACCAAGACCAAACATACCAAAGGAAAAAAAACCAAACAAACAAGCAAAAGGTATTGAATTTAAAAGAAAAGACAAAGGTGTGAGAAACATGAAGAAACCTTCTCACCTTCTTGTGCAATACCACCTGTATAAATCATCTACCCAAGGACAGCCAGTGTCCTCTGAAGATATAGGAAATTATGTTGCCTTTACTGTTGCTGAAAGGCTTCCCGCACAGCAGTATATCTTTGACTCAGAGCTATAATACCTATATTTCCATAGCTTTGATAAACATTCAAAACCAGCTGCTAATTTGAGTAGAGGAGTTTTTTGTAGAAAAGTACAGCTACAGTGTACCTTCCTGCAAGATTTAAAAGATTACACAGAAGAGAGGTTCCTTACCCCTGGTGTGACTTAGTGAAGCACAGAGGAGCTTGCTCCGGGCTGTGGGACGTGCCTGTAGATCTCTGGCAACTTTTCTGAGTCTGTGACCAAGTTGTGGAAACAATTGAAGTAGGCGGAGGGGAAAAAATAACAAAAGTTTCAGAGGCAGGACTCAGGGTGTCACTCAGCAGCTCACAAGTTGATTGGTCCCATTTGCCTTCTGACACAGGCAGTGACTCCTCTAAACTTGCTCCCAGCAGTAATGTACATGGGCATCACCTTTCCTTTTGTGAAAGGAGCTGTGTGCCGGGGAGACCACCTGCTCAATCACAGGATGAGGGAATCTGGGAGGCTGCCTGCTTCAGTAGGGTAGCAAAGGGAGCTGCTCCCTGACACCCTGCCTTTTTTTAAACAGGAACTTAAATGGGAACTTACTCAGGGAGCTGCTTTGGATGTGTTACTTTTGCTGCAGCAATGTTTCTTCTTTCTAGAAAAACCTAAATAGTGAGGGCTGACACATTTCTTGTGGGTGTTTGACTTGGAACTGTTTTCTTCTGTCCAAGGTATTTTTTAAACTACACTTTCAATATATATGGTTTTGATAATTTTGTTACATACCTGGTATTCAGTTTATAGTGTATGATGAATGCTTCCCAAGATAATCTTTCTTCTCATGGTACTTAAACTGAAATAACTTTTCTGTATTTCAAGTCTATTCCAAACAGTAATGGGTGGATTAGAGGATTTTTTTTTCCAAATTTGACATATGTAAGTTCATCTCTGAAATTTATCATTACTATATATTTTGAAGTATTTATCTTTTCTTTAAAGCACACTTCCACATTTTTTCTTCCCCTCCCATTTTCTGTGGCTAGAAACTATTTAAGTGAATTTCTTGAGAATCCTTTATCTTGTTTGGATAGGGGTAGCAGCTTGATGCTACTTACAGGTTATCTTACATATGCTTTCCTGTGTTGAGAAGTGACAACATAATGCATACACAGAGCAGTTTTGTGCATTGGGGAAGTGAAGGATTTACTGGATGCAAAAGGATTAAGCTATCAAGTGAGAGCATCCAGCATCAGGCTTTCTGTGTGGATACAACTGACAGCATGTGCCTTTTCCTGATTTGGAAATTGCAGGCAAAAATACAGAAGCTCAGCCAAACTCTGAACACTTACAGATTCAGTTTTGACAATAATTGTTTAGCATAGATGAGTTGCTTGAGTTTAAGCAGGAGCCCAGACAGGGTGGATTTTTTTGTTTAGTTTGGGTTTTTTGTTCCCTGGAAGCCCTGCTGTGGTACATCATTCAAACCAGAGACAGAAGGACTTTGGGAATGATGTACAACCCTGTCTCAAATTGAGCCCTGCTTTTATTTTTGTAAATATGGTTTAGCTCTTCTGCAAATTGGTTATATCAAAGTTGAAGTTAACAACTTGGTTTTAGTATCATAAATATGCTTGCTTTCCTATAGTATCAAACCCAGGAAGTCTGGGGTCACATATTTCAGTTGAAAGTTAATTGAGTATCTTGACAGTGAGGAGTGATGATTCTTTACTGGTGCAAAGTGTTTCATAATTTACTTATAATAGCATTATTAATGTTATAAATTTCTCACAGTCAAGCAAACTGTATTTGGCTTTTTTTATGAGGGAAGTTTCATGTTTTTATTGTATGCTGTCATCCAAGAAAAGTGCTAGCATTGGATTGTTTGCTTTTTTATGAAACTTGTGCTATTGAAATTCACCCTCTATATTTTGTTATGAAGTCAAATCCCAGCACTGCAACAGCTGCAGTGCCATTTTTTTACCCAATTGATGAAAAGTTGTCATGTTATTTAGTTACACTACCCCAAATTCTTGACTCTTTTTGTTAATTAATTTGAGCTTTTTAGAAATGAGATGCCTTAAGAGAATTTGGTTTTGTTTGTGAGCTGCTGACACAGTCGTAGTATGGTCTCCATTTTAAAGAGCAATAGTCGAATGTGCAAATTATAGCACTGAAAAAATGCTAGGATTTCATGAGAAACATAGTACACATCTTCTCTAAATGTGAACTCGGATAAGAATCTTAAGATGGAAAATGTATTTGCCAAATAACAATTACATCTACAAGTTCCGACCACATGAGTGTTGTAGATCGTGTATTAATGTTGTTTCTCTAAATACAAGCTTGTTTAAGAACATTCTCTCAAGAACATTTTTCTAGTTCAGGTTAGTTGTATTCCCTCATGTAACTGATGGATGTTTTGGTGGAGCTCTGAGGAGATGCCAAAATACTGCTTATGGGACACGTCAAGTCTGACAAGTACGGACACAATATATGAGCACATCTCTGTACTGTTTTCATTCAGTCTTGGGTGAACAGGTCCAGACACCCATGGATATGAGAAAGGAAAAGCTTTAAAAAAGGAATCTGTGTTGAAGGTTTTGGTCTGCTGCGTTTTGTTCTGGGGAACAAAAATGTGCAGCTGTTGCCTGCTTGACCTTAAATGGAGATGATCTGGACTTTCTCCACGGGGATTAGGAATCTACCACTAGAACATGTTTCTTCTCAGAAGTTATTTAGAGATCTGGTTGATATTTGGGATAATGTCTAAAAAGAGACGTGTTGTACTTCAGCATATGAGCTCCTTTATTGAAATAATAATTGTATGACTTCTATTCACATTGGTAATAATTTCCTGGATTATTTTTACCTTTCTTGTGCTAGTTTTCAAAATTCCAGCTGTAGACACTGTCCACCTGTATAATCTGTAAAGAGTTTGAGGTGTCACTGTCTGGTCTGCTGATATGATAATGATGATCATGACTCTGTATAGAAATGGACTGCAACCCAAGTCCAATTGTTTTTAATATACAGGTAAATAAATTCAGCAGCAAGTCTGAATAATCCAGTTAGTGAGATTTTCCATGCTGCTGCTGCAGTTTGCTCACACACTGCAAAAGTGCCTCTGTGATATCACATGGAAGAAGGTCTTGTGTTGGCACATTTGGTTTAACAGTAACAAAAAACACACAGAAGGAAGAAGTGAATGCTCCCACGAATGTGCATTAATTTCTGTGTATGTGGGACAGAGTAGCAGAGTTTGGTATTGAAGCTGAACCCTAAAATGAGATCTTTCCTTTTTGTAACCAGTAGTTTTCTGGCCTGATTCTGTGATGGTAATTGCTTGTAGCCATCCAGGTATTAGCAGATGTGGCTTACAGGACCCTTCTTACTGTTCTCTAAAGAGAAAGGACCTAGCTAATGTATCCTTCAGTTACATTTGTGCTGCAAGCCTAATACACCCTAAAGGGAAACATGAGTTTTTCCCTCCTTCAAAAGTACAGAAAAATCAGTATTTTCAGTGCTGATGTGAATAGCATTCCAGAATCACACCAGATAGGGTGACAGCCTAATCAATTGAGAGATAATAACTTCCTAAATGCGTTTAAGGTTTTTTACTTCAATTTGATACTCTTACAACCCGTTTGCTTCTGTGTTTTACCTGATGCTTCCTTTAATGATTATCTGACCTCAGTGAATCTCACTCACGTCTGTAGTCTCAATATCTATCTTCTGGATTCATGTGGAGCAAGTTGACTTTCTGAGGCTGCAGATGTTCCTGCTTTTGTGTAGCAAGACTTACGGTCTTTGTTAGTGTTATAGGAAACAGCTTTGCTGAGAAATCTAGGCTTTGCATCATGTTATTTTCCTCTGGGACAAGACATATTTACTTTTCCTAACCATTGGATGGACATTAAATTAGTTTGATCTTCACATTTTTTCCTTCTTTACAGACAAGATGAAATTACTTTTTGAGGCAGCAGCTTGTAAAGCATACTACTGCAAAGTGATTAAGAAAGAAGTACAAAATATATTAATAGAAAATTTGGTCTGAAATACTTCTCTTTTTGGGAATGATGAATGCTCTGGTAGTACTAGCCATCTTATTTGTTACTGACCAAAGACATTTTTTTAAGGTCAACTTGAATGTTTTCCTTTCAGCTGTTGTTACTGGCACAAACCTTAAACTATTAAAGTAGATCGCAGAAGTGTGTCACGCCTGTTTATTGTCTTTGGTGCTTTGACCCAGTGTTAGAAAAGAAGGGAAAAAAGAAGTTTTGCCTGGCTCTTGCTCTGAAAATTGTCTGTGTCCTTCCTCTTCCCAAAACCTGTTAGGACGCACTTACTTCATGTGGAACAATACAATTAGCATAGACTTGACCTGTGTAACAAAACATTGACAGCACAAAAAGCTGTGTTCTTGTAAATACTTGGTGGTTTTCACAGTGATGAACCTTTTTACTAGGTTAATGAAGGTCAAATAATTTGCTAGTAGCAGTTATCTTCAATGATGCCAAATGTCTTTAAAATAGCAACATGAGACAGGATAGGAAATTCAATGGTCTTCGTTACAGGGAAGGTTCTTTATTTCTACAAAATGCCTGGGAAAGCTGTATTTTAGTGCTTACTGGTGTCCTGAATTGATTAAGCTGAACAATGTGCTTTAGGTGGTGTGTCGAGATCCTTATACCTAAGAAACTGTGTTGAGTGTCTTTCAGATAAACTGTTCTGGGAAGCACAGAGATTAGTTGTGTTATTTGACATGTTGTGAGTGATAGATGAACAGCGGGACAAAGGCACATGAAGGAGAGATAAAGTTGGAAGACCACGTTTCAGTTGCCAAGTGGTGGTGCTGGATTATCTCCACTTGAAAGTGTAACTGCAGAATTGAGGAGAAATGATTGGGCTTTAGCTTTTGTTGCTACCTATCTTCAGCTGAACGTTGTCCTTACAGAAATGCATAAATATTGCCCAAATGATGAATGTTTTGACATCATTTAGAAGTTGAAAGGTCTCTTGTGCAAATTATTGTAGTGATCACCCTTAGATAGTGTGGAGGGGTAGCAGGTAGGCCAGTGGCCTCAACAGGGATCTCCCGTTGCCATCTCCGTGGCAGAGATGGCATAAATCAGGCTTCTAAAGAGTTTTCAGGCTAATTTTCACATGGCCCTACTTTGAGAAGTGGGAGCCAGCGACACCTTTCTTTCTCTTGCTTGGTGTTACAGAATGGTGTGTGTCATTTCTTCACTTCTTCTGTTCATTGCTCTGAAGTTTGAGGCTTTTCTTCCCCTTCCCTCTCTTGAGTGGCTATAAATAAGACTAATTTCCATGGTGAATGTCAGCTGTCTGTTGCTTCATACCTTTGTTTCATGAAATTCATAGCTAAAACAGGGAAAAAAGCATT